TTTTCAGCCCAGAGTCTTCTGCAATCTGTTTTTTAACATTTGGAAATTGGCCTCAATTCACAGACTGCAAACTTTATTGTCTCTTGTTAACATTAACCACAACCAGGCTGAAGAGCACTGACAACTGCTAGCTCTATGCTAGATACCAGATCTCAATAACATCTAATTGCAGTAAGTCCAAAAATCTGCTTAAGTTACACTAAAGTACATTTTGTTTGATTGTTCTGGATCTATCAGCTCTCAATGTCACTCAATGACAATTTTCTTTTGAACCATTTTTGAGACAAAAGAAAAACACTTTGGAAAAAAACCCTCTAAACTGCCACTTATACTTAAGCTTTAGGTTAAGGTTTATCATGATCTTTACTTTAATTGTGTCTCAGTGCTATCATACTGCTCCAAAAATAAGTTTTTGTTCTCTTCCTCCTCCTCTCTCTCTCTCTCCCCCTTGCTTATTTTTTAAAAATTTTTATTTTCAATAGTGAGGTTCTGTTGCAATTTATCACTCAGCAGGTCAGCACAGTAATCATTAAGATGTTCTCAAGTAATTTAACATTGGTCTAGAATTCCAAGAAGTGACATTCTGCATGCATAACAGGCTGCAGGTTCTTCTAACTCTACTGGAGTATGTATCCTATCGGTAAAACATGTCATGCTAACAAAGAAAAGATAATGTTTAGTCATTAGATGAACTGACTGGAATCCCAAAGGAAGCTGCTTTTAATTAAACATAAATTTAGGTACTTTGTAGCTTTGAAGCACAAGTTTTTCCAACATTCACCAATCTTATCATGGAGATGAATGTACTGAAGCTCTCAGTCCTTCAAAGCCAAGTATGAAATCCAAGGTTTAAATACCATAGTAAGAATACAAAAAATCCATATAATTTCTAAAAGATACCAAAAAGCAATAACAAGATGAAAGTCTAGATGTCTCCTAATACTGTCAGCCACATAGAAATATTATTAGTCCTTTCCAAATGTTAAGTTTAACTGCTTAAGTTGTACTGCATGTTCTTACAACAGTAGAAACGTTTTTTTTTTAAATAAGCAAAAGTAGAAGATTACTTACAACATTACTCCAGGTGTCAGAAAACACACATACACATTAACAAATCTCTCGACTGTCTGTTGACCACAACCCTTATCATTCCTGTATTGTGCACAAGTTCATTAAGTCCTCAGAAGTCAGGTAGTTGGGCAGCTTCTCTCTCTCTCAAACTCACTTACGTAAGCTTCCTTAAAAATATAGTAACGACTTCACTTCTAAAACTCTACTTTTCTTGACAGTAATATTGATAAAATAGGGAAGTAATTTTAATCTAAGCCATTTACTCTACCATTAAACCTCAAAAGCTCTTAAACCCAACTATGTCATGATTTTCCAAATTGTATGCACTACCTTTTCTCCTGAAAGCTGTATTGATTATTTTTCCCTCAACCCCTACTCTTGGTGAACCAAAGACCGCAGGCACTCAGTAAACCTATACAGAAAACACCGTATTAGCTGTTGTCCCTGACTGAGTAACGTCAGTGAAATTTGGAAAGCTATCATTCAAAGACTCGGCCGTTCCAACACATCAGCAGAAATAACATGCTGGCCTCTGACAGCTTATTTTTGACAACTTTTAGACTTTAAACATATCAGTCACGGTTACTGCTTAACCTTAGGAACAAGAATCCCGAACACATGACCCACATTCTGATAACAGGTGCCAAAGAAAACACAAAAGCCCTAAGACAGCTAATAATTAAAGCTGAAATTCCTCACGTTACTCTTACATCTGGCACATGTGTGACCTCGCAGGAAGACTGCGGCTGGACAAGGTGTGCGTGCGGGACCCGGCCAACACCTGCCCCGGCCCTACATCCTCTAGGGCCACGTCGGGCCCTGCCCCGGCCCCACAGCCTCCCCCGACCCCAGGCA